GCGTGTCTATTTTTAGCTGAAAACTACCTGTCAAAAAATAACAATTAATGCTTGACTTTTTTTTTTAATTTAAATCATAATTTAAAGATTAATATTGCTCATCAAACTGCTATGTATATTGAAATATCATATACCTTGACAACTTATTTCCGACTTCTTGAATTGAAATTTCGAAAATATATAACTGTTATTTTCGATTCCTGCAACATAAATTTTTTCGTAGAATTACTTTAAAATCGTTAAAACTAAATATTTTTTGGATTATTCAAGGGGCTCTTCCGATCGGTAATTTAAAAAAAAAGCTAGTTAAAGCAAGTTTGCCTACCAACTAAAAAATATAGCAATGGTTTTTAAAAAAGTTAAGCTCATTTAATACCACAATATGGTTATCAAGCGGTATAAGCTATGAACTAATAAAAGGTTTTTGAAAACACTGTAATTCACCACTACTCTTGGATTGGTTTGCCGCTTATGTAGAGTTAAATAAAACAAGAAAATTCCAAAAACTTAAGGAAGTACGAAAATATTGCCGACGCTAATCTCTTTCTCCGAGATCATATACCAGCCGATAGACAGTTTTTTTTTATTTTTAAACGTTAAAAGGAGAACGATTGAAGTAGTCGTACTTCCCGAAGTCATTGCAGCTTGCAGTCTCCCACATGAGATTATGTAAATACTCATATGCACTAAGTCCTAAAATGTTCCTTAAGAAGTCTGCCAAAATAAATCTGAGTTGTTCCGGTGACGCAAACCCGACGACTTTAGTCAATAGTCTTTGCCCATGCTGGTGAAGAGGAGCCTTCGATGCTGTAAGCCATGGACCCGTTTTCCAACGTCCATGTTGCTCTTTGAACCGTCGATATCGGCGTCTTTAGAGGTTTAGTTTGGGCTTTTTTCACAATAGGATATGTTCTAGATTAATACTTTGCAGGTGTATTTAATATTCAACCCCGATCTATTAACAAAGTCGATACGAAATCATTCGTCCGAAAGTAATAAAGAGAAAATATAAAAGTGGTTCTCGCAGTCTATGTAATCAACCCCCGAGATGGGGTTTGCTGCAAAAAGTAAAGTGGTATATGCACGCTTGCTTAAGTAATACCGTAAGAAGCTCTGCGGTCCAGCACAGTGAAAATTTACTGACTTTTTAAAGCATTATTGTGGTATTTTATTGAAAGATATAGTGCTCAAAACCAAGGATATTTAGAGCTTTGTTTCAAGAATTAAGAGAGGCAAATCAGATTTTTCAAATAAGTATGAAAGGAAATATGAAACAAGAATCTGTTGTACTATGCCATTTTTTACACAAAAATGCGAGAATTTTAATTGCATGAATTTTTTCCGATTTTGGTTGACAATTGCTCGGATTCGCCCATATACATGACTATAGCTAAGTGCGAATTCAATAAGACCATGTCATCAAGAGCTAATTTATGGCCATTTTCCCAAGTAGCTTTTAAAATTTAGATATATGCTCTTCAAAAAAATTTGTTTGGCAAAAAATGTGTTCGAGGGGAAGATAAATTTTAAAACTTACTTGTACTATATTGGTAATATATTGGTATTGTTCGTTTCCTTTTTCCTGGCGAAAAACGATATTCTTTATTTTTAGATGGCTGGGACTAACTTAAATGCCTTTCTTATATTATTACACTCTTTGATATTTTAAATTTTTACTGATAGTTTTTTTTTTTTGCTTCGTTCTGTTTCATGAGTTTTTGGTAATTTTTGCTTGGCCCCTGATCTCTATATTAGAAATAAAGCAGTGCAATTAACTGGGTTGTGCGTGTGCCGAGAGAATTGAAAATTTATCTTTTTATCATTAACGTAAAAATACCCCTTTTGGAACGAGTACCAGTTTTAAAACAATGCTATACACTTTTGTAGAAAAAAAAAAAAGAACTAAGCCCCCCTGCGAACACACGTGAGTGCGATTTTCCTGCAACATCGTGAGCACTTACAAACTAGCGCAATTATTGACCCTATCTGTGCCCGCATAATTACGCAATGATTGATCAATTTCGTTATTTTTCTGGAAAATGATATTTGTATCATACTCACTGAATTTTCAAAATTTTCAAATTGCTTAGTTTTCAATTTTTAATTTTTTGTGGTATTTTCGAATTTGTACTATTTTACATAGTTGAGAGTCACAGCAAGTTTGAATATTAACGCAAATTTAGAAAATAACAAAAATTCCAAAATCTAGAATTTTATGAAATTATTAATTTTCTTGAGATTTCTTATTTTTAGGATAATTTCCAAAATTTCAAAAACTATCGAAATCTGGGAGATTCGAGAAATTTTGGTAGAATGAGAATATTTTGAAATGTACAAAATTATTGAGATTTTATAAATGTTAATATTTTCCAAATTTGAGAATTTTATTTATTCTGAAATCCATCCTAAAATGTAAAGATGTGAAACATCACAAATTGACGAAAAAATCTTTTGTTCATGGTACTTGCATATAAAACTTTGAAATTTCTTAGAATTCTAAAATATAACATTTTTGAAGAATTCCAAAAATTTTCCTTTTTTTGTGCTTTGTATACTTCNCATATAAAACTTTGAAATTTCTTAGAATTCTAAAATATAACATTTTTGAAGAATTCCAAAAATTTTCCTTTTTTTGTGCTTTGTATACTTCAGTACATACTATTTTAGTATGTTATTCACGATATATGTTGAAATAATGTATTGAAAAAGTTACAAAAATTTCATATTAAAACACATAAATTTTTCGATACGAGGGAATTGAATGCCCCACTTTTCTTAGGACTTCGCCTTGGGGAAAAAATGCATTTTCGAATGTGAAAAGGGTAGTTTTACTTTTTTTCGATTACTATACATTACATTTTCCCACTGGGTAAGTATGTATGTATGTCTTTTGTGAAACACTAGAGGATTTGTAGTTGAATTTTCCGCACTGATTTAAGAGATTCACAAAAAGCATTACAAGCTATACAATTTACCCATTAGGCCGAAATCGTTTGAACTTCTGCAGCAATTAAAAACCATCATCTCTAGACGTTAATTAAACTTATATAAAAATTGCCGTACTGATTCGATTTTGAATCCTTTCATCAGTCTCTTCATTGGAATATTGCCAAAAATATATGTATGTAGCTGATGTCAAGGTTTGAACTACATAGATAAGTACATATGTAGAAAACAATTAAAAAGGAAGTAATTCAGAAAATGAGAATAATTCAGAACCGTTTGTTCAGGATAATAAATAACATTTTTATATTTGTTTGCAAGTTTGTTTATTTATTTATTTATTTAATTACGTTGTTTACGCATATTCGCTTTAAATACATGTTTTTCAGATTTTAATTATGCCGAATAAATTTTATTTACTTTAAGTAGTTACATGTTTGGATAAAGTTATTTTATGTTAAATATAATACATAAAGTTAAATTTTTCTTGGCGTACATAGCTATCAATTATGAAATAAAATAAAAGTATGCACAAAAAATTTATAGCAAAACAATAATTCAGAGTACATAATTTAAACTGTACCAGAGTTTAAAAATGTGGAATGATTTTATTCATACTTACATACATAGGTACTTAATGCTAAATTTTCATTGCTAGCATACAAATTTTCCACCATTCCATCAGTGACATGGTCGCATTACTGATAAAATAAAGGCAGCGATTCGGGAAGCGAAGTAAATATGTATGTTGTGGCTAAAAATTTATGAAAATAAAATTGGCATGAGAAGTTTTAAAGCCTTAAATTTTTGTAAAAATTAATCTGTTTTATGCATATGGGGGTTAAAAAGCATACATATGTACATATCGAGCCCTAAACGCCAAAATAACGTAAGCGACACATATTGATGCAGAAATACATCTAGATGCTCTAGAAATATTTCTCCATAAAAAGAATACAAACTTTTTGAAAAACTGTCGCTCACGTTTTTTTGGCGTTTAGGTCTCGATATCTTTTATCGAAAAATTTAATTTCGCCTCTTTGAATCGCCGTTGTGAAATTTTATACGAACGTTGCCAAAATACTTACACAGTAAACATATTTTTTGTAACTCTGTTATTCGCTTTGTAGCTATCCTTCTTACTTAACTAAGTTACTAACTGCTAAGCTGCATTAATTTTTATTAAATTAAGTTCCTTGCCTTTGCAATTTTTAGAGTTAAAAAATTTTGAATTTCTACATTCTTACGCATAATTAGCTATACAAATACACAATTTACACCTTAAAAAGTAATTTTGAAGTACGCAAAAATATTTACAAAAAAAAAAACAAAGGAATGCTGAAAAACTGGTAATATTTTTAAGAATAAAATTATAATTTGCTTAAATTATAAGGAAGGAAAAAACGAAGATTTATCTAGTAAGCCTTCAGAAGACTCAATAAATCCTATGGTTATCACCGCGTTATGCCGGTACTTAATCGATTGGAAAATAAAATAATCACTTTCCTTTATTAACTAGTCATTAATTATTATTATTTTTTTTGTTTTTATTCCAGACTACGGAAAATTCGAAGCTATCTGCCTCGAACAACTCCTCTACAAGGCTATGCAAGTGTCTCCACAACGTTTTTCCCGCCCGCTCATCTAACGATAATTATCACCCATACGACAACGTTTACTCTGCGCCGGATTCTCGCCCATATCCAGGCTCTCATTGTCACTGTCCATTGTCTCGCTGCAGTCGCCGTCCGGTTCGCCACCGCCCATAATATCCTGTTTCCGTTTGGCGGTTGCCATTTCCGCGGCATGTTTCTTGCGCCACTTGGTCCGTCGGTTCTGGAACCAGACCTGCAATCGAGTAGAGAGAAGAAAACGAAAATTGTGGAATTAGTAAAAGTTAAAGGTGGAAGCAGGAGGTGAGAATAAAATTTAATTTTAACTTAATTACTACACATGTGTAAAAGAGATTAGGGTAGCAGTTCGAGCAAAGGTTGTTTTCGCCAAATTCAGAAGTGAAATATTTAAAGTTTTCTATGTAAGCAATTAAAAGTGGGCAACGACAGCCCTGAATGTACATGTACGTTATTTGCCAATAGCATGCAGACGCCCTTTTTTCGAAAGCTACTTTCGTCAACTTTAATGTCGAGAAAACGACATTGAAAAACTCGATGATGACGTTGGTAGCCTACCTACTCACTCCCACACAACAAGCTGATGCGCGCGTCCATGGTTGACGACGTCAGTGATGGTAACATGTGTAAAGTCATTAAGTCGATGCTGGCATTAAAGCGTTTACCAACACATAAGTATTTACAAAATAGTACCCTGCCGAACGACAAGACAAGGACATGCAGGACATGGCGAGGTACGAGTTTGCAGCAGAGCGAGCGCGTTTTTTGTGTAGTGCAACACAAGTGGCACAGTTGCTACACTTGCGGCAGGCATATTCACCACCCCATAAGCAGCATAATCAACGCCGGTTAACCCTCAATTAAGAGAAAATAAAGCACCAAAAGGATCGGAGTGGGGCGCAAAAACAAAGCAGCAGCGTGTGGAAGGTGGCAAGCGAAGGAGGGTGCACATTTGGGAATGCTTAGCCAAAACCATGACTAACAAAATTCGGTTGCGCTTGCGACCATGAAGGAAACGAGTATACTTTGAAGAGCAGCAACAGCAGCAACACTGACGACCTTAATAGTATGGCATTCAACATATGTTGCCGCCAGCCGCACATAAAATAGGAAGGCTGGAATTGTATGGACAGCTGAAAAACGGGCTCACTTTGGCTATCATGTCTCATTGTGTCATGTAAAGTATGGACTGTGCGTAAGCTTTTGTGGCAGCCACAATGAGCTGAAAAAGCACTAACTCAAGCAGTGTATGTTGCACGTTTGTGAGCTCATTGAGCGCCTTGAATGACGGTGCTGACGACATAATTTGCTTAGCAAAAGTAGCGGCCAAGCGAATGAAGCGCGTACAACTTTTCGCTTTGCAACCGTTTACTCGTAGTTGTAGGTTGTGTGGTGTGGAGGCTGCCTTGGTTTAGGTTGTCGTTTTTGATGCTGCCTGCTACTTTTGGCGGTCATTAACACACTTTTGTGCAAGACAATTCACTGCCCGAGCGTCATTAGCCAACAGCAGCAGCAGTTGCTTTACCGGAAGCTCATGCCCCGATTTCCGTTTCAACTACCCATTGACTACTTAGTTTGCTGCCTTGCTTTGTTTTGCTTTGCTTACGAGTTTATGGCCGCCATCTGTTGCCTGTTGTGATGTGGTTACAATGCAGCGGTTAATTACTTTTCAAAGTTTTAAAAATTGTGGGTGGGTCGGGGTATAACCTTTGACGTTTAAAAATACAACTTTGGATTCTTAATGGGATGTTTACAGCTTTGAACTGATTTTTTTTTTGTTAAGTGGCCGCAAGATAAAATGATAGAGTATATGCATCACGATTTTGTCTCAATATTTTTTATACATATTAGTTCACACACTTATCGAATTTTTCTCTACCAGACTGCTTGTATAGCCCATCGTAGCCACAAAACCCGAAAAATTCACACTCACCGTTTAGTGGACCAAAACGAAAGATGTTGAAAAGATAATCTCCATACGAGACACAGATAGAAAGCATCGGAAAAACCAATATGAAGTTGAGAAAATAGCAAAACCATGATGCAAACAGAATACACATGGATACAGATGTAGATATTTATTCCAAAATAAAGCGAAAGCTTCTCTGCGCGAGCCTGAAATACCCAACCACTTAAGGCAATATACTCGTATGTTATACACTTGTATCTATATGAGTTACAGATGTCTGTCTGTACATAGTATATCTGACTCAGAGATTTTTTGGCCACAGCTGTTGCCACAAAATAATGACCATGAAAAGCATCCTTAATGATGCCATCTAATGGTGTGTTGGCTTTGCTGCTGTGCTTCTTCATTTCGCAGTAAAAGCTGCTGCATCATTCCTTGCGTAGCCTCTCGAAAGCCATGCCTCTATTGCGAAGGCGGTGAAGCCAACAACGCCGTTATGCTGGCGCTGAGTTTGGCATTTTTTGCAACTGCTTGCTGGCAACATTTGTGCTCCGTATAAATATGCGTGTATGAATGAAAATGGCTTGTTGAAAATGCAATATATGTACATTTAATACATTTTGCAGCTTATTTCGTCATACACACACACATACACATTTGTATTCCCACGTAGATGTACATATGCCGCCATAGAATCTCAGTCAATGCCACTTTTCTCATAATATCTTTCTTTTAATTCTCTTGTTGTCATAAAGAAAATTAATTACATTTTTATTTGTGCATAATGCGGCATATAATAATTACACAAATGTGCAAATGAAGTTGTAAATTATGAAAGGAATATGTTGCTATGGCTAATTAAATGCAGGTTGTATTGCTATTGTCCTCCATTTGAGCGATTGGCTCTAGAAAGGTTTGGTTTGGAGAATATAATAACAGTAAAAGGGACTTGTTACTCATGTGCCATTTAAGGGGACATATCGACGGCTGAGTGGGAGATCGATCAATCTCAGGTAAGGAACGCCTCAGAACTTTAGGCCTGACTTCGTGGCTTTTTTCTGGCCTATTTTACTTAAAATATGTATAATAAAATGCGGCTTGGAACTATAAATATAAGTACCAATTTAAGCTTAAGAAAAATCTTTAATATTTCTAGAACTTCTTTTTACTATTCAGATATTACAGCGACCTTGCAAAGTACCATTTCTTTGAGGAAATACTTTCTTAGCTTTTTAAAAAATAATAATTAGAAATTTGAAATTTTAAACTGTAATTGTGTACTCTGATGCAGAATGTGTTAAAATTTTTGAAATTTTCTTATCTTAAGCTGAACTTCTTTTTACATACATAGATATATTCAAAACGATCTGTCTGCAGCTAAAAATTAGATTACCATTCAAAACTCCACCTAAGACTTAACTTTCATCGATGATGTTAATGCTGGACTTCTATATCGCTTGACAGAAGGATTACCTATTGAATATCAAAATAAAAATTTGCAGGGGGATCTGGCTTCTTGTGGATTGGGCCAAGTACACTGAGACTCCAATCTCCGGGCATGTATTCATCAGACCAAATTCTGTTTAATAGCAGGTACCTGAGCTCGACCAGCTCTTCGCCGCCGGATTTTAACAGCTCGGCCGGTATACTGGCACTTCTTTTTTCTATAGAAGGCTAGAGCAGGAGCACAAATCTGCACACTTAAAC